CCCTCCCCCATTTCTGAAGAAGGGTCTAGGCCTGAAACGTCAGCTTTCCTGCTCCTCTGATGCTGCTTGGCCTGCTGTGTTCATCCAGCTCTACACCTTGTTACCTCAAAACTATTGTACGCTCCTTTTGACCAGCATTTGTCTCTTGCTTTTCCCAGCTTGCTAACTTATAACTTCAGGCCTGATATCCTTCGTGAGGATTACCCTGCCTCTAGCCAAATCTAGGTGAATGTTTCAAGCCTGTTTAATTCCTCATGAAACTTGTTTTCTGTCTGAGCTTGAGCTTCAACCCACTTGTGTGTTGAATGATAAAAACAATGTTTTCTTTTCTTCAGGCACAGAACTGGCTGTTTCCATCTCTGCTTTTTTTTGTCTTTATCTTTCTCTGTCTTAAATTCTTGCAAATTGACTCATATGAGAGGTTAAGGGCTATTAGAATAAATTTTCAAATTGGTATTACAGTGGTTTTCTGTCGACTTTCCTGTAGCTTTTTCATGTGGCAGTGTGAACTGCATGGCCCTTCGATCGAGGTAGAATTGCTAGTGGCTGTGGTTTAGATTCCCCCAACTTCATCTCGACATTGAATAGACAACCTACAGTTTGACATTCCAGACGCCTCCCTGAGAGTCCTGGGGATTAACAGTTGACTCAGTCATCACAAATGCTCTTGCTGCCATTGGCAGATGTGAGAATTTTGCATTTTCTTCTCATTAAATCAACCCAGACCCACTTAACCTTTACCAGTCAAGCCACTTAATCTTATTGTCAGGCAAAATCCAGAGCAGTTCATATGACCTCCTTCATTACACCATTTTATTTTAAAAAGTCATTCCAAATACAAAATAATCTTTTAACCTTCATATTTCTAACAATTAACAAAACCTTGAATTACGACTTGATAGTGGGACGAGCTCAACACCTTTCAAAGACTTTTCAGTCTAGTGTAACTTGCATCCTTCTGCTGATATTGAATTGAACTGGAAAAGTGAAAAATGAAAAAACATTCAATCTTACAAGTCATGCAGATGGTGTTCCATTTAATTGTACAAGGGAAATTGCTCTGTCTGAGCCTGTCACCTTAATGCTGTTTTGTTTCCCATAACTCAAAATCAAGGATATTGTTAGAAGAATGTCATTTATAAAAACAACTCATGAAAAATAATAGTGCAATTGCATATGTGTTTGCAAAAAGCTGTGTCCCTAGACCATTATTCTTGTGATTTTACCCTTTCCACACGTAGATGACAACAATGTTTAACTGTGTGTAGTAGCCAAACTTATGTCACTGTAACTTTTATGGCTGATGCTTGAATGAAGCCATTTTCACTTTATCTTTTTGACTTGTCACTGAACTTATGTTGAAATATTACGAAGTATATTGAAGCAAATATTTGAAATGGCCATGTACACAGGACAACTTTTATGAAGGCTTCTACCTTCTCAACTGTCACTTGTATTTCTATAAATTTACAAGAGAAATATTTGAATTATGGCGGGTTTATTGATAAATAGTGTCTCCTGCTTTTCTGTCAAGCAGAACATCATACGGTTTAAAAGTGATACTTCCTGGTGCTTGAATTATACAGTTTTTAGACTTTATAATATATTTCACTGCTGCAACAGCATTTAAGTGCTTTTCACTTGTTACCTGATGAGAGAGAACCTGTGTATTGTTAAAAAAGAGTCATGTCAAAGATTTTAGCCTTGCATATATTAGGTTAAGGGTAACAATGTCACATTTAAGACACTTTTTTCATGACAGTGTCTTGCCAACCAATCAGAACTCTTTTCTCCTGTAGTATTGTGATAATTTGACTTTCTTGCATTTGTCTTGATGAATGCAGGACAAAAAGCTTTGGTAGCATGTCTCTCTCTTTTCAGCATTACTCTCCAATCTATCTACAAGACCCATAGACACATTACATTTTCTGCAACCTTGCTGAGAGTAAAATATTCAAAGCAAACTTATTTTCAAGTTACCGTCAACGTACACTACAAATTAGTGATTCTCAACACAATTTAAATTGCTACCAAATGGACATTAACCTTGCCATTGTCAGAGCATTGTGTTTAAAGCAAGCAATAATTTTACGTTCAGGCTAAATGGCCTTTCTTTGTGTTGTAACCATTCTGTGATGCTACGGTATACACACCCCATTGCTCTCACATTCCATAGCGCAAGTTGCATAAGTATTTGTTATCCAAGTTATCTCAATATGAATAAACTAGTGCATGTTGAATGTGAAAGTAATATTGTTTGTCTTGTTTAAATAAGAAATTATGATCACCTTAAAGTTCAAAAGTAGATTGGTTTACTTGTTCCTTCTTACATTTCTGGTTGCATCTCGAAGGTACATTAATTCTCCAGACATCATTGCTATTTGTGACATGTGGGAAAAAAGAATGAAAGGAATTCAAGAGCAAATTGATCTGGTCAATGTAAGTTTTTTTTCATTGTTGTTCATTGAGGTTCCCACCATTCCCAACATGCACGAATATAACTATCTGATCTTCATCTTTTGCCAAGTTTCATGCCTAACACCCCTACTAAACTGGGGGATGATGTTGCCATCCACCTATTCACCTTTCCACTACTATTCCCGTGGACTTGTCACAACAGAACAATCTGTAGTCCTCAGCATAAACTATTCAGTAGTAGAATAAGCTACTCGGTTCATAAGTTACCCTTCCAAATATATCCAGAATAAAAGCAGACCACAGTATGTCTAACAACCTGGATTTTATGAGCACTTACTGATAATTGTGTTTTTTTAGGCTACATCTTGGTCTCCGGAAGATGGAATATATAATGACGGTGCATTTTCTACTAATTATTTTAACTTTATGCCATCTCAATACAAATTTAAACATCAAAAGTATCCTGTAAATCAACAAAGACTTTCACCATCTCCTGTAACAGTTGAAATGGGTCAGAATGTTGCAGAAAGTGCCTGGTTTTCACGCAGATCTAAGAATATAGGACTTGATGCGAAAACATTACTGACAGCAGAAAAAAACAACTACAGATCAGCTGCTTGGCCACGCAGTTACTTAACGGTACCAACTATGCAGCCTAATTCAGCCCTTGATTTGTTGGATCTTAACCAGTCTGATCTTGAACTAGAATTTAGGATGTTGGCTGGTCAAAACATGTCATTTCCTCTTCATCTTGCTAGTGGTGGTTTGGAAATGCATGATGTCTCAACTGAAGAAAAATCATCAACAATCCCAGATAATTCTCTTGGCACATTACAGACTTCACATACCTCAGAGAATCTTCAACATCATTTATTTGAACCTTCTGACTTGACGGCTGAACCCTTTAACAAGCCCTTCAAACATTTACAATCTGCACATGCAATTGTTAAGCCCAAGAAAGACTTCCAGGCTTTACACACCCAAAGGCCACTTGCTGGAGCATCCACCACCACCAAGTCACCACTTGGCAGGGGGTTATCTGCTCTTGCTGAACCAAGATTATTGTATCATGCAGTAATGGAACAACTTTTCTTCAAATTCCCTACAATAAACGCGTAAGTTTTTATTTACCTCAGTGCTTGCAGTAAAAGCATATTCGTTTCCTGTTGAATGGTGATGCCAGTGTATGGCACAGATTCTAAATTCTACTGTGGTTTAATCCTGCATATTCTGACTTCATTAGAAAATACCATCAGTAGGTCTTGATGGTGTAGCCTGTTGAATTGTTAATGTGCAACTTGATGGACTAGTAACATGCAGGCTCACACACATACATACATGTACAAGTTTATGACTCTGGAATAAGCTTGAAGTTTTCCTAATAGTTAGCTAGAAAGCAGCAATTGTTAGTTATGGTGCCTGTCAGCTAAAGATTTTGTTGCTTAAACTGTGCATAGACAAAAATAGCGTGCTAACACTTTTTATTTCTTGGTGTCAGGTTGCCTTTTAACGTGCCACATTTTTAATGAATGTGTTCAGATACATTTATGACACTCCTCTGGAACAGGTGGATTTAGATCTGAACCTCCTGGCCCAGAGGGCAGGACACTTCTACTGCACTGCAAGATCCCTGTGTGGCTCATATATATTGTTTAACTAGCAACGAGTTCACAAATTGGAGTGACTGTTTTGAGATTGCTATTAAATGGTTTAGGTTGTAACTCCCTTATTCACAAAGGGTGGGAAAATGAAAACAGGATACTATATGCCAGTTGACTTATTCAATAGAAATGTGTTAGAAGCTTCTAGTAGGGCACTTGGATAAGTTCAGGGTATTCAGACAGATTCACCATGACTTGTGAATGGTCAAACAATATTTACCTATCTATTGAAGTTCTTTGAAGAAGTGGATAAAAACGAGCTGGCAAATGTAAATTTCCAGAAAGCATTTGTGAAAGTCCTACATCAAAGGTGGTTGCAGAAAATAAAACTCGTGGCGTACTGCTTACATATGGACACAGATTGATTTTCTGACTGACAGAAAACAAGAGAAGGCATGAGCAGCTCTTTTTTTCAGATTGGCACGATGTAGTAAGTGGTATCCCAGAAAGATCAGTGCTGGGACTTCAACTGTTTACCATTTACACGAATTAACTTGGATGAAGGCCTTAAAGGTATGGTTTCCAAATTTGCTGCTGATGCAAAGATAGTCGGAAAGTAAGTTGTGAAGAAGACATAACGAGGCTACAAAAATGTATAGCTAGGTTGATTAAGTGGATAAAGATTTGGCAAATGGCGTATAATATGAAGCAGTGTGAAATTGTTCTTCGCAGGAAGAATGATTGCAGAATTCTGAGATGCAGAGAGATTTGTGTGCACAGGTGCTTAAATCGCAATGTTAGAATGCAGCTCCAGTGAATAATTTGGAAAGCTAACAAAATTTTACTCCTTATTGTGAAAGGAATTGAATGCAAATGTATTGCGGTTATGCTTCAGTTATATAGGGTATTGTTGAGAAGATATCTGGAGTACAGTGTGCAGTAAATGGGCACTATATTTAGGAGAGGATATAAATGCATTGGAAGCAATTTGGAGAGGGTTTACCTGCCTGATACCTGGGATGTTTGGGTTGCCTTATGAGAAAAGATTGCTAGGTTTCCACCCACTGAAGTTTAGAAGGGTCAGAATGATATGATTGAAACAATAAAAGGTCCTGAGAGGTCTTGATAAGGTAGATGTGGAGAAGATGTTATCTCTCGTTGGACAATCTAGAATTAGAGATCACTGTTTGGAAATCAGGGGTCATTCATTTAAAACAGATAAGGTTTTTTTTATTTATGCGGAGGGTCATGAGTCTTTGGAATACTCTTCCTGAAAAGGTGGTGGAAGCAAAGTCCTTGAATATTTTTAAGACAGAGGTGGATAGGTTCTTGTTAAGCAAGGGGGTAAAAGTTTACCAGATATAAGTGGAAATGTGGGTTGACATTACCACCAGATCAGATTGAATGGTAGAGCAGGCTTGAGGAACTAAGTAGCCACATCTTTGTTTGCATGCATCATATGAGCAAAAACAATGTCTAAAACAAGTCATGAAAACCTTTCAAGTTTATCTACTGCATGTTTGAAAGTGATTCAGTTAGCCTTGACCAAAAAGTGAGGCTCATATTGGTAACTATGGACCTAGTGAACATACTATGGATTAGAAATTTTTTTGTTGAATTATTTGAGCGATCTGCAATCTTTTAAGCCCAACCACTCATGCCATTAACTTGACTAATTTTATCCTTTTTGTTTTATTTTAACAGAGATGTATTTCATTCACTTATTAATAAAGTGAAAGATGAAAATAATGGTACTCTGTTAGGTTTATCTGTCATTGACCTGGTCAGGCAAGTTTCTCACCATGTTGTTCAGGGTACCTATCGAGAAATGGTACGTACAGTTTGCCTCTAAAATGCTTGTGGTATCCTATTCTCGTCCCAGTATTGCATTTGTATAAAAGTGTAATCACCTGTCACACTGCAAAGTAGAACAGCTTGGTATCAGGTGCTGCCAACAAAATAAATGCCACCAAAATGCAGTATTTATCTTTTATTGTTGTTACTGAATTCCCTTCCTTTCTGTCATTTGATTGCAGCACTACACTTTCTCCTTACGTGAACTTTCATCAATGCACATCACAGTCAGTGATTCTGTTTCTTGACCTTTTCCACTCCTGTGAAACAGCTAGGCCTTTCTCACATAGAGCAGAAGCAAAATTAAAATCAACATAGTGTAAGTTAGATACTTTGGTAGGACTTGATTGTTTGTTAAAATTTATTTTCAATTCCGATCCACTCATTATTTAAATATCATGTAGACTTGGAGCTATGAGTTATTCACTTTTAGGAGTGTAAAGTTAGAATATTATTGATCCAAAAATGCTGTATGTGTTACAGTGCCTGAAAGTTAAAGACAAAGCAACTTGTATCAGATTCATATGAAAACATGTTGAGGTTTAAAAAAAGGAATGATTGTTAGATTTCCTTTAATAAATATTTCTGTGTCACTTCAGATATCTCCGATCACCCAATTTGAATTTCATTACTATAGGCTGTTTTCCATATGGTTTGCCAACTCCATTGCCTATTCCGCCAATTGTAATGATCATTTCATGTCACGTGACTTATTTAAAAAAAATACTACATTATGCTGAAGCAGAATTCATTAGCAGGCAAAGGATAATCTAAGATTTGCATTGTTTTACAGAAATAACTGATATTATTGTATTTTTGTTGTGGGGTTGATTACCAGCAAAATTCAAGTTTGAGTTCTGTTTTGTTCTAAATTTGCATATTAAGTACCCAAAACATTTTTTCAGCATTTAATTAAAAGCCTACTTTCAATTTGACTTGTAACATGTCAAAATGATAGCTTACATGGGTGTTACATCTAAGTCACTGCAAAAATATTTTCCTAATTGTAATTTGTAAAGTTGTTTACAAATTTAATAAACTTGTGCATTTTCCCTATCTTTCAGACATATCCTTCTGCTTCAGAACTTTTTCCATTTCGTTCCATAGACTATGAAAATCCTTTTCTCCCCAGCTATCCTACTCTACAACCTGATCTGTCACCAGCAAGACCAGATAGATTCAGTGGCCTCATGTCTGCAAGTGCAAATCCTTCATGTTTTGAATCATTACCTCTTGGAGATTTGCTGGAGCTGGAAGGCAGTTTTGATGGCCTTTAGAGTTGAAGAAACATCAGTTAAATTTGAACATAAGATTTGTAGCGTAATTATGTTTGCTGCTGCCTAACAAATGCTGTTCTTTTGAAATTTCCATGCAACTGAAACAATCTGAAATTTTTCTACCATATTTGGCTTCTCCACTTATAGGTACAAATAATGATAAAATTGACTGGTTGAAATTTCAGTTGATTATAAACTGCAATTGCAACTTTTAATAAATTGATAAAACATTTTTTTTCAAAAGGAACATCACTTTCTATTTAACTATTGCTATGATGTTGCATCGATCAGAATTAATAAGAGTGAAATTTATGCTGTGAAAATCTACGTTTGTGTTTGTAACATAATGATCTGATCAGAATATCGTGCGTCCCATTTTTTATGCATTATGACATTTCTATTGGATAAACTGCGTTTCTAAAAATAGAAAATTCAGGCATTACAAAGCACTTCAACACTGCAGTGAATCAACACAAGATGAAGCTGTCCTTTAGCTTTTCAGAAATATATTTTATTGTAACACACCTTTAAAAAGGTAGATCAGGTGAATACACTGCAGTTACTGACAAAACTAGAGTGAGTGTGCTTTTCTGTTTGACCCAAAGCACAATGAAAATGACCTGAACAGCAGGGAGATCACATACAGAAGTAGTCAGGGACACAATATTAGATAAGTATTTAAATGAATAAAATTATATGGAGTTTGCTACCATCAGAATGCTACCATCAAGCTAGAAGGATGACTGTTTATTACATAAATGGGTAATATATGAATTTCAGTGCCACTCTGATGCTAAATATGGGCAGTTGCATACCTAGCATCCTAAAGATTGGCAGATTGTATTAAACAGTGTGTCCCTTCAACTTCACAACAGGCAAGATACTTACCATGTCTAAAAAGCCATATTTGCTCAACCCTAAACAGAGTGTATAATGTTATTCTGTGTTTGGGCAACATTTGTGAAATAATCCTGAATATTCAGAAACATGCTCATAACCAATTTAATATTTTCAGCCTGGAATGCAGTGTGGCACATTTGTGTGGACTGAAAATTAAATATTAATGCAGAGGTCCCTATTCTTTATAGTCACAATGTATGCACATGGAGTTTGTTTCACCTGAACAGTATAAGTCCTGACCATTCTCTGGTTCATGCCTCAAGGCAATACATTGAGCAACGAGAATCAACTCATTGGTTCAGATTGAATGCTTGACAGTTAATGGTTAGTCATCACCTGACTGGTGTATGCTGCATGGCAATACCTCTAACAATTTAGAACCTACTTGCCAACTAATAAGCACACTCTGCTGATATGGTATAAACGTGTTCCCCTCTACATTGATATTCTTACAAATTGTCCCAGTAAGTGCAAGGTGAAAACTTTGACAAAATTCAAGTTCTGTATTACAAAATAACTAATTAATAAAAAGTAATTACTTTTCACCTTAACTACGGAGTAAGAACAGCAATCCTGAAAGTGAATTTGAAGAGCAAAAGATAAATATATGAAGGGACAAGAGAATGTAAAATAATGTTGATATCACTAGGCTAAACAGTGCCTGCGTTGCACCTTTCTAACTGTTTTATGTTTCTGTAAGAAGTATTCCCTCAACTGTATAACTTATGATTGAAAATCACATAGTGATTGATTTTCTCCAATATTGACAGCTCTTAATGCAAAGCATTAGGCAGATTCTGCCAGTTCAGGCCAGGCAAGCTCGCTAGCAAGAGAACTGGTAGGAATTGGAGTTTATGATGAAAAATAGACCTCCCATGTCTCAATCCATTTGATCCAATTCAGAGTTTATGGTATGGATTTCCAGAGCAAAATACTGATATTACAAAAACTCTTATTCTGAAAATTCTCAAAATTAGTACTGTTGGGGAAAAAAAAATCAATTAGGAAAAAAAGAGCAAAACTAGCATAGTCCCTGACTCATATTTACAGGCTTATGTGCTTTGTGAAACTTTTCTGTCATTTCCTATGTGGCTGGTTGAAATAACTCCAAGTACACACCCACATGCTTTCAAATGAAGTGATAAATGTTAGGTTATTCCAGAATACAAATTACTGGTTATAACTTTGTGGCTAATAACTCAAAACGATCCTGATCCATCTGACCGTGTCAGTTTCTTTCTGTTTGAAATGATGTGGCGGTGCTGATGTTGGACTGCGGTGGATGAGGTCAGAAATCTCAACACCAGGTTATAGTCCAACAGGTTTAGTACACCCTCATCACTGGTGTGACACTTTGATCTTTTACTTATAAATTCTGTGTCTAATACTACCCCTCTCACTAACACCTCAAGGAGGAGTGAGGCTCCGAAAGCTTGTGTTTGCAAATAAACCTGTTGTATTATACCCTGATGTTGTATGATTCCTGTTTGAAATGTTGACGTACGCATTAAGACTCCTATGAGCCATGTAACCGTGTTCGTCTGCTTACTGTGTTTCTTAATCCTATTGCCATTAGTTTACTTTTTGTGAATGTTGATCTTCTGTGGTTACTAATATTGATTCAGTACAATTTATTTTTCATCTAGCTCCTCATGACACTTCTCGAGGCTCATGTCATTCACCTACATGCCACAAAAACTGCAAAGGTTTATAGAGTGACAAACAGGCATATCTGTGTATCATGTTGACCAGTTTGCCGTGTGGTTGCCCTTGGTGTTAGTCGTCTTTAATATTAGGACAAGTACTTTCAAGAAAGAATGCTTTTACTTTTAGTTTCATTTACTTGGTGACATGCATGTGAGGACATGCCTCTCATTCCAACATTGTCAAGATGTGGGTGGAGGTTAATGCATGGCAGAATTTTCTAAGACTCCTGTCACCAGTGTGCTCAGCACAAAGTTGTCATAGTAATTGGTAGGTTGTATATGAGTTCCAGTGCATTCATGCTAATGGTCAAAGGGGCGGTATGCAAAAGAAAATAAACATTTTAGAAATCTGTACTTTAACATATGTAATGAATTGCCGTGCGAGTAACTATGCTGGTTGGCCTTCTGACTCATTAGAATTAGACAGCATGTATCGTGAATAGATTTTGTTGCCTATGTGCAGAAGGTTCCTTGAGATCCCACATTACGATGATGTAAATGACAAGAAAATAGGTTGAACGGTTGGATGTGTATCAACTTTCGGAGGAGATGAAAGACGGACTGGAATTTGCAGAACTTGCATGGAATGTACATTGTATACATCAAGAATATTAAAAAGTCATTTGGTGGTACAGAACCTGCTTTGCTGTATAAAGAAAAGTTTAAAGATTTTCATCTTGTACTCAGTACAATTGGCAAGAATACCAATTCCAGGGGAAACCAACATTTATAAGGTAGAGAACATTGGAGCAGGAGTAGCCTACATGGCCTTTGGAGGCTCTTCTGCTGTTTAATATAATCATGACTGATTATCCAACTCCGTACTCTATTCCCACTGTCTCTCCATACCTTTTATCCTTTAGACCTAAGAACTACATCTAACTCCTCCTTGAAAGCATTCACTGCTTGGTCTCAACCACTTCCTGTGATACAGATACAGGAGACTCACCCCTCGCTGGTGAAGAAATTTTTCCTCATCTCAGTCCTAAATGGACATCCGGAACACCCTGTGTTTACCTTGTTCTGTTCTGTTAGAACTTTATAGCTTTCTATGAGATCCTTCCTTGTTCTTCTAAACTCCCAGTGAGTATAGCCCAAACCGATCAAGTCTTTCATATGTCAGCCCTGCCATCCCAGGAAAAGCCCTCAAAAAAAGAGGTATGAAGGGAGAATGCTAATTGGATGGCAAGTGGACTCTGATTGCTCGTGGCTTTGCTTTGGAGAATGCACTCATTCATGGTGATTGACAATTAACAGCCAGACATTGTTCATATTTTAAACCAGGCAGGTTGGCCCTGGGAAATGATCCAGTAAATGGCTGCAACCTACATTGTTGAATTGAAATGAATGCAGTGTGTGTACATGTTTGTTCTTTGTTTCTAACCAGGGGGTAGCTTCAAAATTAAAGCGTCCAATGAACATTAGTAGTCATGTAGTAATTATGTTTGGAATTGTTTGAACTGGCAAACATCCCAGCTTATGGAATTGCTCTGGTGGGAGAAAGAAAATCAATTTATAATGGAAGTTGAGTTGTTAAATCTGTTATCCAATGTATGCTTGAGAAGATGCCAGACTTGGTCTGAAAATTGGAGGACAACAATATTTTTCCACATTTGTGTAAATTTAATTCCCTACACAATGCACCCGATATACAACTGTGATTCTCCTGTATATATCACAGCAATGGTTGGATTTGTGTAGCTCTGAATTGCGTTCTAAGTGTTTGAGAGTTATATTACTCAATTAAGAAAAATGTTTTAGGTGAATAGGTATGACCATAATATAGCTTATATGACACCTGAGATGTTTATTGCAGCTCACTGTGACATGATGTCTGTTTATTTAGGCTGAAGAATACAATGTGTTTGTCCATGATTATACGGAAATCCAAGTATTTGGCTACTTGTATAGTCTATATGAAAAACCTAGAGTAAAACAAAATAGTAAACTGGCTCGCTTTCATTTGTGTGGTATTCTGCCTGTATGTATATTTTCTTGAAGTTATTTTGAAAGGCTGCGGTAAACTTTGTAATTCTCACCATATATTTTCAAATTAAATTTTACAATTGATGACTATATTTTGTATGTACCTGTTTAGAACTGATGAACAACCTTAATGGTAATATAAATATAGGTGTGAATAATTGTCTATGATGTGGTATTTGAGCCATTTAGTTGTCTGGGTATGGTGGGGAGCAGTCTTAATTCAAATGCAATAACCATTGAAATGGGGATAATTTAATAGAATTATAGAATGGTTACATTATAGAAGGAGGCCATATAGCCCTCCATGTCTTTCCCTAGGATCCTGCAATTTTTTTTCCTCTTTAGGTAGCTTTCCAAAATCTCTAAATTTTGCAAACCATGATTTAATGCATCCACCACACTCCAGCATTGCACTGCAGACCCTATCCCCACACTGCATACTTTTTATTTCTTCACGGCATCACCATTCTGTTTTTGGCAATCACCTTAAATTGGTGTCTACTTGTTCTCAACTCTCCCACCAATGGGTTCAGTTTCTCCCTATTACACTATGTGCGTCCCTCAGGATTTTTGAGGCCTCAAAGTCTCCTGCCCAATTTCACTTCTCTAAAGAGAACAGTTACCAATCCATTCTCATAAAGGAGTTTCTCATCCTCAGATGGTTATTTTTGAACCTACATTTAAAATGTTGGGAAGGATATAAAAATATTCTGCTTAGGAATACATAATGTGGAGGTTCTGGTGTTGGGCTGGGGTCAACAAAGCTAGAAGTCACTAGGTTATTATCCAGCAGGTTAATTTGGAATCTCACAAGCTTTTGGAGCGCAGTCCCTTCGTCCGTTGCAGAGAGAGAGAGAGCAGGGCACATAGACACAGTTTACAGGCAGGGAGATCAAAAGATCATACAACTGGTGTAAGTTGATAAGTCTGCTGGTGAATTGCATACAATACTCCATTTGAGGTTGAACCAATGTTTTGTAATGATTCATCTTAACTTCCTTGATTTTGTGTTCTTTGCTTCAACATATAAAGACCAAGATCCTGTATCCCTCATTAACCGCTTTGCAACCTTCACAGCCACTTTCAACTATTTATTTATTTTATGCATGTATACCCCCAAACCCTGCTCCTGTACTGACTTTAGAATTTAATCCTTTATCTTACCTTTCCTCAATTCTGCAACCAAAAAAAACCTCACACTCTATAAATGGATATATATGTTTCATTGACCCTGTGTCTGCCCATCCCACTAACCTATCTACATCCTCCTGCAGCTTATCAATATCTACTCCTCACAGTTCACAATACTTTGACCAGTTGCATATAAGTAGTGATTGGTTGATTATCATCCAGTTATATATTTCTCTCAAATTTTACATCCATTAAAGTCAAGCAGGAGACAATAGTTGATTATTTCTGTGACTGGTAAGCCCTTGTTATTGAGTTGAAGGTATGTCTCAAGAAAGGTTTGTCTTTGATTCAGTTATGTTTTTTTTTAATGGTATTTCAGTGAAACTTTGGTACTTTGTGTATTTTGTCCATTTTTTTCCCCCTCACCTGGGAATTAGATGAGTGTGACAGCAATAATGAAATCCAGGTTTCACCACCATTGAGCATTGTTTGCTGGAATTTCAGGGAGGAAAGTCTGATGGGGAGGGTTGCTTGCTTATGATCATGCTAGATTCTGTTTTCATTAAAATTACTTGAAAGACCTGGCAGGTTCTGTAAAGACCGTGCCAACCCCCTGAAAGTCATTACTGTGGTCCACCAAATGTGATTCTCAACACACAGCTGATTAAGAGAGGACTCTATTGTGAATCTGCCACATATCAATAACTCAAAAGAGTGTTTCCCTGTTTATTATGCTGTTCTCAAAGCTTCAAGCCTTGCATTACATGTAACAAATACCAACTGTGCATACATGCATTGAACTTGCTTTGCACAAATTGACTGTCATATTTACCAACATAAAAAATTCACAAAACTTGTCAAGCAATTAATTGCTTATGAAATGCTTTAAGAAAATTTGGAATAAGACGCTATAGGAATGCAGGTTCTTTATTTATTCTTTATTTTGTCAAATTTTAGCCATTTTAACTTGTTTAGAATATGTATACTCTTGTAAAACTTGTTGATTTAAATTTGTATACATTTTTCCTTGGACTCATCGTGGAGGCTGCCCTTGACTTATTGTGCTGAGATCTTCCTGATTGATTTCATGCCTGCATGCTCACATTATTCCAGCCTTGATTTGCATTGCTATGCTTCTTAGTGGAGACACAGAGACCGATTGACATGTGTCTCCATGGAACAAAAACAAAGTTGCTGGAAAAGGTCAGCAGGTCTGGCAGCGTCAGTGAAGAAAAAAAATCAGAGTTAACGTTTTGGGTCTGGTGACTCCGGCTTCTGAGGGTAACTGGACCCGAAACGTTAACTGATTTTTTTCTTCATAGGTGCTGCCAGACCTGCCGAGCTTTTCCAGCAACTGTTTTTGTTCCTGATTTACAGCATCTGCAGTTCTTTTGGTTTTTATGTGTCTCCATGAACTTCACTGAGGACCATGCTTTTAGACGTTGAGACATGGCCACTAGCTTGCTGCACATGAGTTTATCACACAAGTTTCTGGCACAAGGTGGAGGTGTGAGATTGACTTTGCAATGCTCTGTACAGCAAGATGTGTGATCACTTGACTAAGGACTGCTGATTAGCAAGATAAACTGCCTACTTCTGTGACTGCGCTACAAGGCAAGACAATTCAATGAAAGTCAAGGCAGAGATACTGTGAACATTTAGGTTGGTGCTAAGAGAGTCAGTGAAGCAGCCTTGAGCTGCAGCAGCATCCAGTTTGTGATGTGGGAGTCTGTCCCTATGCATGAACTGGCCTTGTAGTAGCATTTCAGTGATAGTTGCCAATGTGGTCCATCGTGCAGCTTACAAGTGGGTTGGAGAGGTGCCATGAAGATCCTGAGAAGCTGATAGGTGTTGGATGCCAGTTTGGGGAGCAGCAGCTGGTGCTGTAGAGTGTGCCCTGGGATGCTGATGCCAGCTGTCCAAGCACCCCAGAGGAGCAAACAACAGGCTGGTATTGTCATGTATCGCGAGTTGTTGACATTTGACTTGCTCGCTGTGAGCTGTAGAAGAGGAGGAATAGTAAGGAGGTGGCTCATTATTCATGAGGCTACTAACAAGCAACAATCCTATCAATATACATCTCACTGCTCCCCAGCTACAGTCTTGAATCAATACTGGAAACTCTCTTTAGAAATGCAATGAGATGCTTACAGCATCAAATGGCTTGCCTGGCTTCTCATTTGATTCTCCCAGATATCTCACCAAAGCCCACATTGTTCAGGTCCCAATAGGATTCTGCCATTAATCTCCTGCTTTTTCATTTGCTATGAACTACTGTGGGACTTTGCTTCAATAAATGCAATTTTGAGTATTTTGTATCCACTCTATCACTTTCTACTATTCTAGTAATCACATGCAATTCTTATTTTCCCTTTGCTATGATCTTACTTTGAATATTACTTCAATAAGACCTTGCTTGACAATGAAATGTGGGCTGTAGTTCTATTTTGCCTTCCTCAACAGAACTTTAGAACTTAAGCTTGCAAGCTGCTGTGGAACTCAGGTTTAGGCAAGCGTCAAATATCTGACTGCTGTTGATTTTCTGCAGTGAGTTAGTTGTGGTTTGAGCATCTGGAAATCACAAACAAAATCCTCAAAGATGACCTTCTATCCAGACCTTAAAGTGAAAATAAAATGTTTCATACAGCTCTCCTGCTGTCCTTACTCCTTCTGGGATGACAATGCAAAGCTAATTGACTTTGACAGCAGGTTTAATGTGTTAGTTTCACTTTTTGGTGTGATATTCCTCAGGGAAAATAGACATTTGGGAGACTGATGTACATTACTGTAAGAGGAAAATGGTTTATAAAGCACTGATGGAGCATTTAACTTGAGCTCCAACGGTTGAGAATTATCTCAGTACAAAAGATAAATTCCTGAATTAAATTATTTCCTGCGTCATTTCCTGCATTTTCCTTTCTTTGTGGTTAGCTGGATTGATTATGACTCATGCTTTATAGGCATGATTTGTGCAATCAGGCCACTTCACTAACCTCCAGAAGAAAATTCCAAGTTGCTAACAGGCTATGCATTTCGTATTCAAATTATGTTCCACTACTCAATTTTAAAGCCAACTATAAATGGCTTAAAGATGGCATAAGCTCATATCCAAGCCAATCATCAAAATAACTACTGCAATAAAATCATTTAATGCTGTCAGGGAGCCATGTTGTACAGCAAGAGATTGGCCAAATTGTATGGACTGGTGACACAGGCTAAGTATTGCCAACTGGCTTAGATTTATGTAGCACATTTAACTTAATGAATACTCCCAAGGTATTTGTAAGAACAATTACAAAGCAAAATATGACTCCAAAATGACTGAAAGCTAGATCAACAAAGTTTTAGGATGTGTCTTAAAGGAGGAAAATGAAATAGAAATGGAGAGGTTTGTGTGGATTTTACAGCTCTGGCCCAGGCAATTGGTGGTGCAGTTATGGTCAAGGATGCTCAAGAGGCCAGAATTAGATGAGTATAGATGTCTCAAAGTGTTGAGGAGCTTAAAGATTAGAATGTTGAGAGGTCTAGGAGGGCTCGGTGGTTAGCACTGCTGCCTTACAGTGCCAGGCACCCGGGTTCGATTCCACCCTCAGGTGACTGTGTGGAGTTTGCGCATTCTCCCCGTGTCTGCGTGCGTTTCCTCCAGGTGCTCTGGTTTCCTCCCACAGTCCGAAGATGTGCAGGCTAGGTGGATTGACTATGCTAAATTGCCCATGGTGTCCGGGGATGGGTCTGGGTGGGATACTCCTAAGGTCGGTGCAGACTTGTTGGGCTGAAGGGCCTGTTTCCATACTGTAGGGTTTCTATGAAAAAATATTAAAATCAAGATGCTACTTCATTGGGAGCCAATGTAGGTCTAATGTCGTGCTAATTAAGGAATAGGGCCTTAATGTAAAATATTTGATATTGGAGCAGGACTCAACTGTGTGCACACATCATTGTTTGTTGCTAAATACAGAAA